TCAGCTTCAAAACTTGCTGCCTGCAAATTGTGCAGTGGAATATTTCCGAAAAGAGATGTAAGCAGTGCACACACACACACACAGGGCTGTGCCTAGTGGTGATTACATTGTTGTGTGTACATCAGCGCAAGACTTTATGAGTTTTTACTGGCAAGTAACCCCATCTACATCCACAGGGAGCTTCTCATCTCTTCCAACAGGACCCTGTTCCCGACTATTTATTAGATCTGATCAGCCGGGCTCCGCCGTCTACCCTTCACTCCGACCCTATCTTCATTTCACCCTCCTGTCCCTGTGCACTGTGTGTTGATTTCTCTTTGAGGCATGGTTCGGCTGATGAGATGTGGCAGCGATACAGAGAGTCTTCTACTTCTCCTTATTAGCACTGAGGCAGAGGGAAAGGAAGGGGGGGCTGCAGGATTGAGGACATCGTCAGAGAAAAGGCTGAGGGATGACGGGAGGGAAAATAACGGAGCTCCCGTCTCTTTTTAGGGCGTGATTTCAGACTTTCATAACACAGTGGTGGTGTGTATATATATATATATATAATAAATACATTACTGCCGACATACATTGCTGTGCAAACATCGGTTTCCACAGATTAAAATGATAAAATGTATAAATACCACTTGAAGAGACTTGAAAATTATAAACAATCAGAGGTAAATCATTTTAGTGGACAAAGTTTTGGCATTGGCATGAAATGTTATAGGCTACAGACATTCATGGTCCCCAGAGCATGAATCCTGCTGACTTTGGTGATCCCCTGGTGTGATTAGGCAACATCTTTGTTTGGTCAGTACTTGGTTTATGACCAAATACCTGCAAAACTATGACATTCGCAGTTCGTCTCAAGTGTAACTTGTGTTTTGTCGGTGTCCCTGGTGTTGGGAAACCGCCAATATCGGCTGGTTAGCATACCGATATCAGCATTTAACTCAAAGCAGTGCTATGTACAGCCTCACAGAGCCGCGAGCATGATGTTAGACTTTTGGTCTTGTTGCATTGGGCTGTATAAATAAACTTGATGTGACTTTTTAACACAAATTCACATCTTCCTGGTTTGAATTTCCTACATAAAAGCATGTCAATGCAGCAGACTTTCAAATTAGGGATGGTGGTCACAGTTTGCATTACCATGCTGTTGTAAAATAAATCAATGAAATGGCCAAGGTGCTGCAAGTCTTTTTTAGTAACATACTAAAATGAGGACCAGGGAACCAAAAAAATCAATCTTGAGAGCATATGGTATGCATTGACATTATGTATGCAGTTTGTACTTCATGCAGAGACGAGATAGTGTGCAAATCCAGCGTTATGGTCCCTGTGCTTGCGTTGTATCCATGTGTTTTGATTAACTGTGACGCAGCTGAACTGTGTCCTCCACCTATACAGTGTTGAGCTCAACAATGTGTTTGTAGCATGTCCCTGTAAGAGATTATCAGCGGTGGATGGATCTCATTTTTGTTTTAGGCTGCTAGCAGGAATAATTCTGTCTCTCTTGTGATCTCTCTCTCTCTCTCTCTCAGTTTAATTTTTCAGATTCAGTCTCTCTCCTCCTCTATTTCATATAACCGTCCTCTCTAATCAGGCCTGCATTTGCCTCGCCTCGGCGGAGAGCAGAGAGGAGGGAGGGAGAGAGCCAAAGAGGGGTGACTAGGTTAGAGGAAAGATCATAATTGGGATGACATTTTCTTCCTATAAAGTGTAACCTAATGTGTAATGCTGTCGGCATAAATGAGATTCCTGGACTAGAAGATATCATTAGAAACAGGAGTGTAGGGATGATTTTCAGTGATTAAAGTTCATGTTTTGTCTTACAACCTTGAATCAGAGTAATTTTAATCTGGCTTTTTTGAGACTAATCAACAGGAAAAAAAGACAGTTTCATGTCAACATGAAATGGTTCTCTACAAAGTGATCAAACTGTTATAGAAATCAAGTATTTTATATTTATTTTATTAGCTGATGTCTCTCTTTTGCTCTTCACGGGACTTTTATTGGACAGTATTAATAGTTTTACTAATAGTTAATAGTTTTACATCAGAATATAAATTTTTAGAAGGCCTAGTTCTGCTAACACTGCCAAAAACAACATTCCTAGTAAGAGAGAGGGTGAAAAGTTAATCAAGCAGGCTTTTTACTGGCGCACCCAAATCACCAAATCCATGAAAAAGACACCAAACACACCCAAGTTGAGCTTACTCGCAGCCAGAAACATTGGTGAGATACACTCAGTGGAGTTCATTTCCAAATCGGCGCGTTAGTAGCTTTCGTTGACATCACCCCTGCTTATGAAGTAGAGCAGGTCTGCCTGTTGAGGACATTTATTCAAAATGTATTAATACTCAAAGTGTCAAAATTTCACCAAAGTAGACAAAGCGCTCCAGTGGTCCAGTGCGATACAGCTGTCAAGTGTGAAGTATATCAGTTGAGCTGTTCTAGGACAGGCAGGCAGGCAGGCAGGCAGAGACTCTTTGCTTTATAGTTAGACGCACCTTTGGAAGCAATTACATCCTTGATTCTCTCCAGGACAGATATTGTCTTCAAGCTGCTGTAGCTTTGGCTTCATTGTCTTTCTGGAAAGCAAATCTCCTCCCAAGTTGCATGTTTCTTGCAGACTGCATAATTAGTATTTTTTTCCCCAGGATTTCCCTTTATATTCCTGAATTCATTTCGCCCTCTACCCTCAGAATTTTTCTGGGGCTTGTTGCAGAAAATCAGCCCCACAGCATGAAGCTGCCACCGCTGTGCTTCACTGTGGGGGGGGATTTATGTGTTTATGATGATGTGTAATCCAACATGGTATTTAGTCTAATGGCCAAAGCGTTAAATGTTGGTGTCCTCAGACCGTAAACTCTCTCACGTGGCTTCTGGCAAACTGTAGCCGAGATGTCATGTGAGGTTTTTCCTGGTTTAGGACGGCCTCTCTCTCCTCTTCCCCCTCATAAAGCCGTGTCTGGTCAACTGCCCGGCCAAGTGTTGTTGTATGTGCCGTCTCTCCAATCTCCGCCTCTGAAGCTTGGAACTCCTTCAGAGTCGTCATAGTTCGCTTCCTTTTCCTGGCCTTTCTCACAGTCACTCTTTTAAAGCTCTTTCCATTTCTTATTCTCGTCATTGAACCGAACTCAAAGAGATGTTTAGTGACTTTAGTGTATCATACCCTGACTTTGATTTACCTTTTTTCCGTTGCTCTGAGTGCCCCTCAAATCTCCATTGTGAAGGCTTCGCCACGATACTACCTAGTATCTACTAGTATTTGTATTTTAAATACTAATGCAGACACAGTTGTACTTTATTTGGATTGCTTTGTAGACATTATTGTAATGTTGTGTTACAATGAATGCGCATTTATTAAAAGTTGAGATTTAGTAGGTGTGTGTGTGTGTGTGTGTGTGTGTGTGTGTGTGTGTGTGTCTGTGTGTATTATATATGTGTATGGAGCATGTGTGAAATGTGCGAATGCCGTTAACCAAAAAGTCTCCTCTCGCTGCACATCAGTGGATGATTGGCTCCCTGTTGTGTTCCTCTGATTAGTCGGATAACAGGCTTTCTGCAGCAGCTATAGAAACCGTCTGAGAGGCTCTGTCGCGTTCTTTCCGCCTCCTCCTCTGTTCTTTAAAGAACGCTGCTCTGTCTCTTCTTCCTCTCCTTCTCTATTTCCCTCTGTACATCTGTCACTTGCCTCTCTTCTCCCTTGCCGCCACGCTGGTTCCCCTGGTTTAACAAGCTGCCAGGGGACTTACATGAGAGTACAGCCAGAAATGTGTTGAAGGGATCTAAACAAGAGGATGATTCATCCCCAGATGGCTCCATTTCCCTCTCTCCCTTTCAGACTTTGAATTTTGGAAGCTTTTAATGCCTCTATCTTCACCTGATGAATACCATATAGTCCTTTATGGAGATAACTTATACTCTTCTACATATATATATATCTAACTTTGGTAGAAACTTGGGTCCTGCTGCTCCCTGGCTATAATGCACATCCTGGGAAACAGAGACGAGCATTTATTTCTGTCTTCGTTCACTCATTGCACAGCATAACGGGTGTCAAAATCACTCTCGGAGCATTTAAGTGGAAGTGAAGAAAATGTTTGCTGCCATTATATACAAATATGAGTCCTGTCACTATGTTTCATCAGCTGGTAAACATGTTTCTTTCTGCATACTAAGTTTCAGCTCCGGATATGTCAGACGTTTTGTTTCCCCTCCATTTATTATAATGACACGATTATGCTTTTTTCCACATTCACTGGTCATAAAAATGGGATTTGAAAACCTGTTGAGTCATTGCACTGTAGTAAATTAAGAGACAGCGTTTGCACATAGCACACAGGTGTGACTGATAGCACCAGTTAATGAAGGGGGGTTTGTGAGCAACACTGCTAACCTTTTACGAAGATAGTCGCGGAAATAGTTGAAGACTAAGCAGTGCACATGTGCATTATTTTCATCCACACCGTTATTTATATATGCTTTACAGTTATTTAATTGCTTCCATTCTCTACCACCCCACTGTGAACACATAAACTGGCACATAAGGACCAACAAACACAACTACTGCAGGCGAGACAGAAGAGAAGGCTTGCAGAGTCATGGCAACTAAAGACAATCTGGTAAACAGGTAGTGGATGGGGAGTGTGTGCATGCTGTGGTTAATTAGTGATCACCAGCGGGAGACTAGTCAGGTGACTGGTTCAGGCCGGAAGCACACAGAGGGCCGCTGAACAGGAGCGATAACAGTGTCTGAAATGGCGGAAGAGTACAAGAAAGTCTTCTTTGTGTGTCTGATACTGATTTTTCAATTCAATACAATAAAACTTTCTCCCGCACGGACGTGAAACAAAGACTTCTAGTGTCAAACTCTGCACATCATTCTGCAGTGAGGCTCAAACATCCAACTGTAGGAACGAAGGAGGGGGACTTTAAGTGTGGATAATCACATAGGATTGTATAACTTGCAGTCATTAACCCTCTGCTTGTCTTGTTTTGTCCTGCAGGACTTCCTCACAGACCTGATGATGTCAGAGGTGGATCGTTGCGGGGAGAACGAGCACCTCATCTTCAGAGAGAACACGCTGGCGACGAAGGCCATCGAGGAATACCTCAAACTGGTGGGGCAGAAGTACCTGCAGGACGCCCTGGGTGAGTGGAGCAGTGATCTGGAAGGGGGGCGGAGGCAGAGTGATGTGATCTGCTGCCGTTCCTCTGAGAAAAGGGCTGAAATAGTTCTGAGAGCAAAAAGAAAAGCTGTTCTCGTTATGTAGTCCTGTTTTCATCTGTTTGTCTGTTTCTTCTGCTGCATGTTGCTGATCATCTCTTGTCTTCACATTCACCTCTTAAACTCAGAGATGTTGAGTGTCAGTAAATTAAATGAACAATAGAATGAAGCAAAAGTGACATTTAGAGATTGAACGCGTTGGTCCTCTCCTCCCACGAATCCTTTTGACAGCTGAAGCGTTTCAGTTTGTTGCTTCAGAAGCTCGTCTTGGACGTCACACAATACAGACTGTGAGAGGAAACATTTCTGCGTCTGCCTCTGACAGACGCTTTTGGAATTCTTAACCACTCACAAGATCCGCTTAGTGGAAAAATTATTATGGGGTGATTATTTTGTCTCTCTACAATGTTAGTCCAAGGTTAGATCAAGTGTGTTTGTCCGCCTGCAGACCTAACAATAAGCACTCTGTATGCACTGTGTGCTCTTCTCTCTCCCTGATTCCGATATGTACACATTGGCAGTTTAATCTACAACCGGCACACATCCTTCCTGTCACTCGTCACATCTTTCCCTGTATGCTGCTAATATTCATGCTCAACGTGTGTGTTTATGTCTTTGGAACAAGGGATGCTGCCTGTTCTCATGCATGTCTCTGTCGATTGATTCAGATAGATATTGGGGTTCTGGTAACTTATGCATCACTGTTTTTGATAAGAGTTTTTTTTTGTTTAACATATGAAATCCCTGAAACTGAGACTGGGATAACACAAGTACACCCGTGAGCTCTCTTTTACAGCTGCTGACTCATTAAGGTCGTAGCATTAATGGTCTTTTATCCCAAAGGGGGTAGCAAAAAGGACATGTTTTCATTCCTCTTTTTTGTGAGTGTAACCTTGTTTGGCTTATATGACTCTTCAAGGTCTGTCGGTCTTTGTCTTAATTGTTTTAGTTCATGGTTCAGCTTACTAAAATCTCAAGGACGATACCAAACTCTGTTCCCTGTAGCTTCGACGTCATATTCTTCCTCCTGTTGCTCAGCTCAGCAGTACTAAAAAAAGCACTTCAAATCACCAGCGCAAACAAGACAAGTTACTCCCACAGCAGCTCTATCACAGACGTCTACAGAAGCCCATTTGTTCCTTCATTTCCTGAAGTGTTTTCATTTTTATTTCAGGTGAGTTCATTAAGGCTCTGTACGAGTCAGATGAGAACTGTGAGGTGGATCCGTCCAGGTGCTCCTCAGGTGACCTGCACGAACACCAGAGCAACCTGAAGATGTGCTGTGAGCTGGCCTTCTGCAAAATCATCAACTCGTACTGGTGAATACCGGAGCACGTACTAGTCAAGACAAGGAGTGTCTAATGGCACACACTGTACCTCTTAACAATATCCATACTTCACCATATTGAATGTGCATTCTGCTTTATTACATGTTTAATTTTAGAAATCCCTTATCCCATGAATTGTCTCTTGTAAACAGACTTGATAACAATAAAACAATGCCATTGAAGGGGTCTTTCATCAGGTTGCGTGCCAGTTCGCAGCAGTTGTCAGTTTTCAAAGACATCTGTTGTTCAAAACTTGGATATGTGAGATATGCTCTACGGAGCCAACTTTGCAGTAAAACTTCACTAAAAGTCAAACAAAAGACACATTTATCCAGCAGCTTCCTCCTACTTACAGCAAAGTGTAGGAGTAACCTTTCAGAGCAGCTCTCAGGGGATCACATGTTCACTCCAATCTGAGACCAGGATTTAATTTCAAGAAGTTCCTTTTATTTGTTTAAAAATCTTCAATATCTCCAGTTTTGTGTATATATGGGGATACATGATGCTGAAATGGAAACAAAAGAAACCAAACAGGAGTTGCAAACAAATTCAGCACAATGATAATTTAGTGCCACATGATGGATGGAAAGTGATTGCAATCAAATCAGTAACAGCTTCCTACTTGTTGTTCTGTTCTCACCCATGACGAATACAAAAAACAAGAGAGAGAGAGAGAGAGAGAAAAGTCCTATCAAATGTTCAAATCAGATGCAAATAATATGCTAAACGCTGATGGCTTCAGCGAGTGATGTTATTCATCATGACCAGTCTTTTTACAATCACTCTCAAAGCTTCACTCAGAAGGTACAGCATGTGCTCATCTCTATTTCTGCAGTGCAGTCCTCCAGGATATATCCTGAACCAACTGAGGAGAGCTCTTGAGCGCTCTGAAATTAACAGCCTTTTTAAGTCGTGCAAAATTTGATGAATTCATTTTATTCTTACGTCTCGAAGTAGGACTGAAAGTGAAACAGGAGAACAGGAAATGTGCCAAAAACTGATTAATGCGACCCACCTTTCTCTACTCGTTGTTAAAGAACCTTAGATTTCTACTCATTCATGTTGAACGAGGTAAAGCTCACTTTTAGTCCGCTCTTTAAACGTGACTTCTGTCTCTCTTTCTCTACAGCGTCTTTCCACGAGAACTGAAAGAGGTCTTTGCGTCATGGCGGCAGGAATGCAGCAACCGGGGTCGACCGGACATCAGTGAGCGTTTGATCAGCGCTTCCTTGTTCCTGCGCTTTCTCTGTCCGGCCATCATGTCCCCATCGCTTTTCAACTTGATGCAGGAGTATCCAGACGACCGCACGGCACGCACGCTCACGCTCATCGCTAAAGTCACGCAGAACCTGGCAAACTTCACCAAGTGAGTGTGTGTGTGTGTGTGTGTGTGTGTTTGTTGTAAGGAGTTTGTTTGGATGAAGGAACCATGAACATATGCCCATCTTTTTAGCAGAAAGATTGTGGAAATTACTAAAATAACATTTCCGCATTGCTCTTTGTCCCGGTTTCCCTTTCCTGTCCCTGTTTGCCGTCAGATTTGGTAACAAGGAAGAGTACATGTCCTTCATGAACCAGTTCCTGGAGCACGAGTGGACCAATATGCAGCGCTTCCTGCTCGAAATCTCGAACCCGGAGACGATCTCCAACACGGCAGGCTTCGAGGGGTACATCGACCTCGGCAGGGAACTCTCCACCCTGCACTCCCTCCTCTCTGAGGTGGTGTCCCAGATGGACCAGGTACTGAAGATGGCAAAATACTATTCTATCATTTCAGCACAAAGCAAAGCCATCACCAGGGTTTGCAGGATACACTATTCCACATTCCATATTATTATTATTATTATACTGGAAATTATAATGCATTAGTTTCTAAATAAATAGAGATATATAGATATTCTGCATAAATAAATTATTGGATTCAATTTACAGAAGTTCCAAAGGTCTTCAATCACAAGCTTGAGGACTTGAATCATGCTTAGACTACATTAGGATGTTTATCGTACATCAATCAATAATTCATGATTGCATTACATAAACAGAGCACAAGGGGAGAACTCTGAGAAGTCAGAGGCTGGGTGAGGCATATTAATGGATTCACAAGGACGTTTACATTAGCTCTGGTAGCAGATGGGAAGCTGGTAATAATTAGATAAAGGGCAGATTTGAGGAGCATCCAGTTCTCTGAAACCTTGTCTTTCAATAATTCAGGAATCACAGTGAGTCTGGTTGAGTCCATCAGACTGGCCGGCCTGATCCATTATTCAGCATGTTGTCTGAATAAGAGAGTTGATTGCATGGCGTAGGGAAAATAACTAGGTCTAACAAATATGCAAATATCAAATTCTGCAAAACCATTCAAATGAATGCCCCCGACTGAAGTGGTCCAGAGTAATATTTGATTTAGCTTAAAAACATAATTTTGTCTCTTTCCTCGCAGAGTGCAGCATCCAAGCTGGGTCCTCTGCCCAGGATCCTGCGGGAGGTGAACACGGCTCTGTCTAACCCGTCCTGCGTCACGATGTCACCCGGACAGTCCTCGGAGCACATGGCCTCGCCTCCCGCTGAGGCGGGCTGCAGCATCTCCACCGGCCTGCAGAAGATGGTCATAGACAATGAGCTATCAGGGTAAGAGATAGTCAAGATCTGGGAATCGGAAGATTCCAAGATAATAAACATCTAGGACCAGATTGAAACTTTTCTGGGGGTGTCAAAGATTGAGCTGACTATTTTCTATTTATCTATATTGGAAAGTAAGGTGAGTAGCACAGAAAAGGCAACTGACAGCTATTTTATATTGGTGCTGCAGCTGCTGGCATGGATACCAAGCCATAATTGTGCAAACCCTAAATATAGGAGGATTAATATATTTAAACTCCTCTGCACATATATATATACAGTATCTATATATATATATATATATATATATATATATAAAGCCTCATTTAAGTCTTTGAAGTGCAATAGATAAATGACTCCTTGTACAAACAGAAAGCAGTCCTTATTTATACCAAAGCACTTGAAAAAGCATTCAGCAGTGCTTCTATTCCTGAACAAACAAATGAAAAAAAGGGCAGCTATTCTCCGAAAGTTAATAAACTTGCAACCTTTGGAACAGGCTCACCAGTTTTTAGAAGGTCAGTTACCAATAAATCCCAGTGCCTAGTGAAAACATGGCCCCCCCACAATAGATTCTGTTCTCAAACTACCAGTTCGTCTGAGTGTTAATGTTTGGCAGCTGAGGCCGTGACACGGTGAGAGTGTCACCCCTGCTTGTTTACATCAGCCAGATGAAGCCTCGTTTACTCTCCTGTGGATGAATACACACTCTGACTGCGCCTTATCGCGCTTATCTCCTGTCCTCTTACTCCCTGGCACAACAATGGCAAGGTGACACTCACAGAGATTAACATGAAGGCCCAGGGACCCGCAGGAGGAGAGATATTTGAGTAATAGCCAGACGCAAACACAACAACAGAGCAGATGAGATCATACAGAACAGGATGAGAGTCAGACAGCTGGTATCATTATGGTAATTAGGGTCCAAGGATCAATAGAACTAATGAAGTGATGTCCCTATATGACCTGATGTTAAAGCCTACCCTCTACTTTATCACAGTAACTGTTTGCTCACGTATTAACTTATGTGCTTCTGTGGTGGCCCCTCGTCAGCAAACTGTGGGACCGTAACAGCATTTGAATGAGCTCACGGTTCTCACCTAATTGCTTCTCATCCACCAACCGGTGACACGAAAAGTAGGAGAAAGGAAAGGAGACGGTGCCAAGGATGAGAGAGAGGGAAGAAATTGAGCAGAATAAAAAAAAAAAAAGGCGAAGTTGGGACGGAAGGGTAATGGAACAAAGGGAGAAGGACACAGAAAGAGGGAGGAGATGAGCGTGATGTGAATGTTAGAGATTATTGGAAGATAAATCACGTCTGTCAAGGTAATCGTCTTCTGGCAATAAAGCCTCCATCTGCCGGCTGAAGGGAGGGAAGAAGGGGAAGGTAAGGGGACGAGGGACAAAGCAAACGAGTGCAGAAGCCACACATCTTCAAAAACCGGCCAGATGACTCTAATCCACTTGTGCTACTGTTACAATAAGTTAGCCTTTGAGCTAAATGCTAAACTTAAGGCTTTTGCTGCTACAGCATCACAAGGTCTGTTGTGACCAGTAGCTTACGGTGGCTAATGTTTAGCTGACAGTCAGTTGTGCTGTTTAAAGTAGATGTTCTCAACCTTTTGTAACTCTAAACCCACTACTGATTGTCAAAAAAAAAGAAATCCACCACCTTTCCAAAACAATGGCAAAAAAACAAAAGTAATAAGTAGCGTGTGTTATGCCACCGGCAGCTGTAATAATCTACAGAAAAACATTTTTTGGGGGTCCACAGCTCAAAGTTATCAATTGTGACTGAACTCAATTGGCTGAGGTTTTAAAATGAACGCCAGATTCACCGTATTTTTTGTTCCGTCTCTTTCAGGTTAGTTGACTTCACCAGGTTGCCCTCCCCTACCCCGGAAAATAAGGACCTATTCTTTGTGACAAGGAGCTCAGGGATCCAGCCTTCCCCAGCACGCAGTTCAAGTTACTCTGAGACCAATGAACCTGACCTGGGCATGGCCAATGGCAGCAAGAGTCTGTCCATGGTGGACCTCCAGGACCCCCGCAGTCTGGAAGGTGGCCCGGGTCCAAGCTCCTCAGACACCCTGGGTGAAGGCCCAATCCTTGGGGGAGGGTGGTCAGCCAGAGTCCCACAGGGCAACATCCCTGGAGGTCCTACTCTGAGGAGGCCAGGCCAGACCCCTCCGACCCTGACCACAGACAGCACCCCGGGCCGACCCGCCCAGCTACTAGCCCCCCTGTCCTTCCAAAACCCAGTCTACCAGATGGCGGCCTGCCTGCCCGTGTCCCCTCGCGGAATGACCGACTCAGGCTCGGAGTGCCACAGTTCTGTCAGTTCCCATAGCAACAACGAGGATGGACCAGCAGGAGGGAAGCATGCCTTCTTGAACCACGGCGGAGGAGGAGGAGGTGGAGGAGGAGGAGGCGGAGGTGGCGGGAGCAGCGGGGACGAGTACACCAGGCGTTCGGGGGAGTTCAACCGCCGACAGCTGTCCCTCACAGAAACACAGCACCAGCCCACCGTCCCCAGACAGAACAGTGCCGGCCCCCAGCGGAGGATAGACCAACCTCCGCCTCAGAGCATTACCCGGGGCCGCACACCCCCAAATCTGCTCAACAGCGGACCCTACCCCCGACCCTCCTCTGGCAACATGATGACATCGTCACCCGACTGGCCTGGCAGCGGCGCGCGGTTGCGACAGCAGTCCTCTTCCTCCAAAGGGGACAGTCCTGAGACCAAGCAGAGGGCTCAGCACAAACAGGTACGGGACTCACTCTGTAGTGTACACATTTTCAACCCACAGTAGAATAAATGAGGATGATATTCATTAGGCCATTGTACAAAACGCCCATATGTTGAGAAAGGCTGTGTGGGTGGCCTCAGCACTGACACCCGGCACATTGTGCCCTAATGAACTACAGTCACTGTGCGTGTAATAACAGCAATTTGCATACAGGCAGCAGATCACTTCACCACTGTTTTACTGGTCAGGTTTAATGGGCTGAGGAGGAGGGTGGTGGAGGCACAATTAGCATCCTATTAACTAGCGATGTCTGTGCTCACACAAACATCACACTCAGACCTCACGGGTACAAACAGATACAGTATACTGCTCGGTTAGCGTGTCGTCACAGTGGGAAGTTTCCATTTCTTCAATGCCTTCACTGGTAAGTCTATGTTCAACATTGGCAGGTGAGGAATATAGGCTGTGATTAAAAACACCGGTGAATGGTTGCCCTTGGTAACTGGCTGAAGGGCAGGATATCTGCATATTAACCACAATGCTTTGCTCTCCTCTCTGTGGAATATTACAGGAATGCTTTTAGATCGACTGGCTTACTGATAGAACCAAAGCTTAATTTAATTTGCTTGTTAGGGGAACTCGGCACACACATTTATTTTCAGCGGTTGAAGCAGCAAACCTCCAGGACCTTAAAGCCACTATGTGTAGATTCATCTTTAAAATGATTCTTTTGGATGGTAATGTCGGTCAAAATGAAACTATTAAATGGATTGCCATGAGATTTTACACGTGAATGGTCCCTACAACATGCATCCAAACAGTTTTTGTGATCCAGTGACTTCTTCCCCATCAGCACCATCAGCAGGTCAAATGTGTCGACATGTACTACATGGATTGGGTAACGTTCATGGTTTCCAGATGATGAATCCTGCTGACTCTGGTGATCCCCTGACTTTGCCTCTTGTGCCACCGTGAGGTTGAAATCTGTGGTTTTGTTTCGACAGCTGATGAATGGATTGCCATGAAAGCTTGTACAGACATTTGTGTTCCCGGTGGTGAAATTTCTTAACTCTGGTGGTCAAGCGAGATCATCGGGTCAATTTGTAAATTTCTCCAATACTTTGATTCATGACCAAATACCTGCAAAAAGGACATTCCCATCAGTGTATTATATATAATGATAATTAGCTCATTTTAGCATGCTACATGCTAAACTGGAGTATGCCAGAAGTCTGACATTTTTCAATCCTGCATAGTGGCTTTAAGTTGAATTTCCTTCATGTGTGACATATGCAAAATATTAAATAATTTATACTGATTAAAAGTGAATGTAGAGTTAGATCTTCATTCAATCTGCCTGGATTGAATGAAGCCAACAACGTAGTCAAGTTCTGATACATCTCATCTGTCGACTGACACAAAAGTTTTTTACTTTTTCTATTTTTAAATATTCATGTTCTGATATTTCAGCGATTTCCAAAAGCCCTCAATGCTCATGAGTGTGCTGGACTTTAAAAGCGTCCTACATTTCCTCTCATGTACTGTAACAGCCCACGGCCAACCTCTCTACTCATCTGTCCATCAGATAACTGGCAGATAGAAACACACACACACCCACACACACACCTTAAGTGCCTCCAGGCTAATTTCAATTCCTCCCATTCAATCTTACCGTAATTACCTTCCGTGGTGCTAGTGCGACACTCTAGGTGTACACACTCGCACGTGTGTAAATCAGTGCTTTGAGGTGTGTGCTCTGCTGTGTGTGTGTGTGAGCTTGAAGACACAGGGGTGTGTATCCATTCCACCTGCTGCTTTCAGTCCAGATGATTTGGTGCATTTCAAGCTTATTTCTGTTGTTTCTGTGCTGTTATTGCAACCTGCCCCCCTTCCCCTCCCTGCCACTTGCACTCGGCTCATGTGTGTGTGTGTGTGTTTGTTTGTGTGTGTGTGTGTGTGTGTGTGTGTGTGTGTGTGTGTGTGTGTGTTGTGTTCACTAGGCCCCCTCCCCAGTGAACCCCAGTGCGCTGGACCGCACAGCAGCCTGGCTATTGAATATGAATGTGCAGTATTTAGACCATGAGGGGATGGAGCCCGAGTCACTGAGAAACAGAGAGGATCTGACTCAGGTGGAGAAGGTAACCTGCCTCTTCATCCAACCTCTGACCTTTACCAACACCTCCTTTCACAATCCACCTCAACCTTCAGCCCTGATGCTCCCACTTAACTATCCTTCCTCTCTCTACCCATCACTAGTTCCCGCATACACCTCCCTCCGTCAAACACCCCTCCTACACTTAATTGTCTGCTGGATTTATTCCCACTCTGCCTTTCCTCTAAGCCCGAGGTCCCTTAGACATACCCAAATTGTCACTTAAAGTCATAATATCCACATTTATAACATAAATTGAGGTAAATAGGATATATTGTGCATCCGTCTGGCTCTGCATGTGACCCCATAATGCCTCAATCTCCCCCATTTTCCTGTAATTGGCTTTCCCGTGATGTTCAGGCTATTTTTTTCTAGGATGTGTATTTTTTTGCCATTTTCACAGCCTGCAGTGAACCCGGTCGTGGCTATCAACTGCAGCAAAGTCACAGCAACAGCAATAATGGCAGAAAGTAGCTACTACAGTTCAAATAACTGCTGAATACATACAGTTGGCAAGAATACCAGTGTGGGTGTAAGCAGGTGCCGATATTGAATATCAGGACGAGGATCATTTTCATCATTGATTAATCTGCTGATTATTTTCTTGGTAACTATTGGTCTATAGAATGTCCGAAACATTGCGATATATACCCATCATTATTTCCCCAAGTAGTATCATAAATCACATGAAAAGCATCCAATTCTCACGTGAGCTGGAATGTTTTTACATGAAAAATATCGATAATTGCAGCTCTCTATCAATTAATCCACTAATCATTACATATGCACGACTTAGCAAACGATACACTTCCTGTATTGTCACTTTTCTCCTACATGAGAGCATAAACTCTGGTAATATAGTGCGCAGTGAGACTTAGTTTAGTGAGACCAGCTTTAACCTCTTTACTTCATATAAAAATGTCCCTGGGCCTTGAATAACAACTCTCAACCCTCACAACGTTCGCTCGTCTTTCTTGCCATCTTTGGAATGAACCTAAAGACCAAAGCAGGTGTGTGTATGTGTGTGTATGCGCATGCAGTACATTCACACAGACATGTTGGAGCTTGTGTGCGCTTGCATCTATGTGAGAGATGGAGACAGAGAGAGTTCCTTCTGCTGCTTCCTCTGCCTGTGTTCCTGCTTCTTTTCTCCTTTACAACCGTTCACCCTCAGCTTTGCTTCCATGCTTTGATTGGCTGCCACATGCTTCCCCCATATTTTTTTTTTCCCATCCATAATGAATACAAACCTGTCATCCTAACATAGCTCATACTTTATGGGAGCCAGCAGCCCAGGCAGGGAGAGCAACCAAAGAAGGCAATAACTTCAGTCTTAACAAAGAAGCCAGCAGCCGCCCTAAAATAGCCGAGCAGCAACAAGAGAAGGATTGGAAAACAGTACATCTCGCACAGCAGCTGAGACACAGGCTGCAGCTAATGGTCCATACAGTCTTACCAACACAGGCCATACGGTAGCCATTTTAAGCTTTCACATCCATTTACATACACTGTATATATATCCAGTGATCTGTAGCAAACTAGGGCAGTTGTCTTGCAGGAGGAGCAGAAAGCAAAATAGAAATTCCAATTGTTTGATCATTTTGATGAACACAAGTGCAATAATATATCATACTATTTGCATTTACTAGAATAAAAACAAGAAATCCTATTTGTTATTTTCCAGTTGGATGCCACTGAATGAATCAGAGCAAGTGTTTCATTGCATAATGAATGTGAAACACAGGAAGGCAAAATTGTTGGGGCGTGCATTTTTTTATTTTTTATCTTGATGTCTGACTCTGCATCCAGTCAAGGATTATTAATGTCATTCTTCTGGAAGGATGTGAGATTTATTTTTTTTCATTCTTTATTGCAAATGTATACAAAGAGCAGGGTTCTGCCATTGGGGTTGGGGTTTTGAATTAGACTTGTATTTAAATGATCTACAGTGAATCGTTTTTAATATGAACTATGAAAGTTGGAGGGCCGGCTTTCTCCTGCAGGCCGCCATCTGGCACAGGGAAAGACATATCAGGGTTACAGAGCAGTATTGTGCGTATGTGAGAGAGCGGTGCAGGACGAAGGCTGTTCCGAACACCGTAGATGTCCTTTAATTCTCAAGGGATCTAGTGACAAGAGAAGAGGCGTTATTAGAGATGGAGAGCGGAGTTAAGAAAAAGGGTAGAAGAACCGATAATACATTTATATGAGGTCGCCATTCCTCCTGGGAAGAGCGGGCTGATGGGGAAAATGTCCTCGTGGTGAGCAGGAGAGTGACAATGAAAGATGGATGAACCCAGCAGCATCCTCGCTGTGTGTGTGATTGAATCTGATAACTCAGGGTGCTCTGATAGTTTGTCTTTCACAGGGTTCTCCATCAGTCATCACTGAACAATAAGCTGGACCCAGTTCAGATTTATCACACAGATAAACTGCTCGTTTATTGTTGTTGTTTTTATTTAGGCTGTAATTCTTAGGTCTAAAATGTTATGTGAATACTACTGATTAATACTTTTATTTTGATTTGTGTTAGGGCTTTGATAAAGGAGGCTATTGACAGGGTCCACTAGATATTATCAGCCAGAAAGACCAACAAACATCAGTCAGGACGAAGCATAATGAGAAGACAAGATAATGATCTGTTTACACCTGTTAGTCATGCTGGCAGCGTGATGTCATGAAAGTTAGTACAGCCATTGACGTCCCTTTGAGATTTTGGCCATTCTCAAAAGCGCCATCATCAGGTCAAATTGATGCTACACTTTGTGTCCTGCAAAACTAACGGCATTACACTCAGCTGCACTTTGTATTTGGTGTTAATCAGCATGCTCACACGAAACAAAAATGTGCTGAACATTGTTAACATTGTCGTTGTGAGCATGCTGATGTTAGCATTTAGCACAAAGCACCACTCTGCTTTAGCACAGCCACACAGAGCTGCTAGCATGGCTGCAGGCTCCTGTTCTCAATGGTCTTCTAGTGACACGCTGACTGATCACAGCATCCCTCACCGCTATAAGAATTGTGTTTTTCTATCCAGAAGAGATTCGATTACTACATTAGTTTCCCCCGACGCCTGAAGAAAACTCCTGCGAAAGCCTCTCTTCGGTCCAGCGAGAGGTCAGGGAGAGATTCTCAGGGTTTATTTCACAGATTAGAGTCTGACTTCACTGGTTACATCCCTCCCTTCTCACCTCCTCTTTCATTCTAAACTTCCTCTCTTTTCTTTCTCCCTCTGTTTTTTACCAGTTTAACCTTTTTTTAACCAAGCCAGAGGTCTGACACAGGAAACATCTGAATCTGACACTGTTTTCGATTCATGATTTGCAATGAAAGCGTTGCTCGTGTTGATGAAAGCTTCACCTTGTTAGTAGAAATGTTTGATTGGAAAGAAAAATAATGTTATTTTTAGGGCAGCTATACAGGTCTAGTATGAAAGTGCAATAATGAAAATGGCTTGTAAATGAACCGTGTGATTCCCTTCTATATTCTAGACCGAGATGATTCTCTCTCAGGAACAACAGGACCTAATCTCAGGCCTGATTGAGAGATTTCTTTTCTGTTCTTGTCAGGGACGGTAATGAAGAAGGGGACCCTGCTGATAGGGTTGATGATTATGATGTTCATGATGATAACGACATCGGCGACGATGAGAATCTCCTCATCTCTCTGCTTCCCTGTTCAGTATCAGCAGGAGATCGCAATGCTGCAGGAGAAGCTGCGGTCGTCGGTGCAGAAGCTGGAAGAGTACGAGGGCCGTCTGAAGGGTCAGGACGATCAGGCCCAGAAGGTGCTGATGGAGTACCAGGCCAGGCTGGAGGAGTCGGAGGAGCGCCTGCGCAGACAGCAGGACGACAAGGACCTCCAGATGAAGGGCATCATCAGCAGGTAGGGGGAAGGAGAAGAAACCGTTACGTCAGCTTTGTGCTCTTGTTCTTCAGATTTTGATTAGAGTGGTCCTGTTTGCAGGTTGATGTCGGTGGAGGAGGAGCTTAAGAAGGATCACTCAGACATGCAGGCGGTGGTGGACTCTAAACAGAAGATCATTGACGCACAGGTCAGTTTGCTCTGTCACATTTGCAATACATTTACGGCAAGTATCTAGCGCCCATTGTGCCTTTTGTACGGTTCTGTAGATGCTCTTTGTCTGTGCGTTTCAAATTTGTATTTGCTGTCACTTGCATCCTCTGCTTGAGGAAACAAAGGGTCAAAGAGATGTTTAATTCATGGCAGTCTCAGCTCTGGCATTGACAAGCTTGAATGGCTGAGCAGAATTTCCCAGCTCCCTCCCACTCTTTCTCTTATAAAACATACATTTACAAATGTCTTATCTAGTTTTCTGTTGACATGCAGCTCTTCTATAATCCATGTGGTTCTTCTTCATATAAAACTGTGTTTAAAATCCGTCTGAGAAAAGAAGAGTTGTTGCTTTAGAGGGCTCGCCTGCAAGGAATTGTGAATGTTGAGAATAATTATAAATTAAGCAGAGAATGAGTGTGTGAGTATTTGTGGATACCATTTCTTCTATAGCCTGGAGAAAGTGTACATTATATGCATACAAACACACAATGACGCCGTGTGCGTCTTTGGAGATTAATGTCAAAGTGATTTTACAAGAGAATGGGGGGGGGCAAACACAGCTATGCTGCAACATGACATTTGCACAAACCCAGGCACGTACATGCATAGGTGATTAATCTCCCTCATGCCTTAATTAATGAGGCTTTGCATCTGCAAACAAACACGCCACAGTCAGGCAATACGTCGTCGCTTTCAGTAAACAGGCAGAGAGAATGAAAAAAACAGAAATCTCATTATGAAGACGGGGAGGGAGGTTTGCTTCTGTGCTGCTCAGCGCTGCCAACATTATATAATTAACACAGTGAGCCTCGTGCAAGAAGCATTCATACAAACAGCTTTCAAATGGCCCGTTAATTTCTTGCAACTTCTCGCACTTTGAATGTTCTCTTTGGAACGGAAATTTAGGACCAGCCGAGTCATGTACAGGTGACTTTTGTAAAACACTTATTTGACTTATGAATTAAAATCATCTGAGTTAATATGGATAGTAAATCTTTTCCAGGTTTAATTGAAATAATAAAATAATGTTCATAATTTCAGTGCGATTTGCTTCATCATGCAATTTTTATCTCCTATATTTTGCCACTGGTATTTTTGTGTGAAAACGTATTATATAGACATTTCTTAGTCTTCCAGCAGCATCGGGGTCTTTTCTTTTCTTTGGTTTTGCTGTCCAAGGAACACATAACGTCACCTACTGTACTATAATATAGACTAAAATCATGGTTGTCTTTTCTTACGCAGGACCTTTTTGGCATCTAACTTAATGTCAAATCATTCCCTTTTCACTATTGTCATCACACTGCTATGACACAGCGTTGATATCTGTAATATTTTCTCATTTTGCGGGTTCCTTAACAGGAAAGCGACACTGATAAATTCGTACCGTTTAATCTGCTGATTTCCGACAGCAGGACTTGAAGCTATGCGGTGCGATATGCTTCTTTTTACTTCTTGGTAACATTTTTTTGAATGATGTCACGTAGCCTTACAAGGTCATTCGGGGGGTTGACAATGTTAACGGAAATGCTAAGTCCTCTCCTCAAGAACAGGTGAGGAATTCAGGTTGAAAAAAGCAATTTAAAACAAGTTTTTGCCGTTAAAATGTTTTTTGTAAATCCAACTTGTACAAACAAGCCTCACTGAAAAAAAAGTAAGGTTTTAGGATAAGAATACAAATATGGTCTTGCATGATGAAGAGAAACAGATCACTGTGGCTCGTCTAAATATAGATTCTGCACTACGTTTCTCTGACTGTATTCATGTGTGTGTGTGTGTGTGCAGGAGAAGCGCATAGCATCTTTGGATGCAGCCAACGCCCGTCTGATGAGCGCTCTGACCCAGCTGAAGGAGCGCTACAGCATGCAGACCCGCAACGGCATCTCACCCACCAACCCCACCAAACTGCAGATAACCGAAAACGGGGAGTTCAGAAACAGCAGCAATTGTTAGGCTACTCTGCCCCCCCCCCCCCCCCCCGAGTGATTGAGTGCCTGCGTGTGTACAGTTATTCAGAGAGAGGACGTTCACGTGCATGCACGGCTGCATGCCTGTTTGAGAGACCGCGAGGGTGCGCGTGCGCTTTTTAAAAAGCGAACATAGTACTTTTGGAAGACATTTCAACCTTTTTGGACACCAGTGCGGGAGTGAGCGGGCCAACCGGAAGAGGCGGGACTTAAGCGTGACAGACAGAAACACCCCCAAGAGAGCAAGATCACCAGACGGCCTTCGTTACAAGGGAGACGGCCAGAGGAGGCGGGGCAGAGCTTGTACATATGAGACTTAAAGCTGTCCATCAGTCATACTCTTTGCCCGTGTATGTATGCAGTCGCTGGGACAATTGAAGTCCCCGCCCACGCCTGGGACAAACCACTATATAACCACACACAGTGACAACCGGCAGACACGGTCACTCTAGCAACCCTCCTCTCCTCCTCTCTCACTTTATTCTTCTCCCTCTCGACGACCAAGCGGACCCACTTAAACAACAATCACGCGCATTGAGGATTATCCTCTTGAGAGGATTACTTTGCTTTATTTCAAAGTCATAGTTTATAAAGAACCAAATAGGAGCTAAAGAATATAGATATTTTTTGTCCCAAATTATCTTTATGTCCCTTTTGACTTCTTGGGTGTGTTCCCGATGCGCTCCCCCCCTCCCCTCCCCTCCATCCCTATGTAGTGCACTTTGTGAGACGCTATTGGTACATGAAACGCCTTAATAAGTAAGGAACACACCTCGACTTTATCCCACAGCTCCCCTATTTCTGCAAAAAAAAAAAAAAGGCACAACTTAAACTGTGGATTTGTAAAGGATAGGAACATAAAATTATACACACATAAATGTATTATGAACACTAAAGTAAATGAATTCTACGTGATACTATATTAATGAAATTTAATATAGATGTATGCATTTCTTTTCTTCGATAGAGTATACACACACATATCTATATTTGATAATCTCAAATATAAAAGCAGCCCTTTATTTAGGAGTGAGATCTAGTTTTATTTTTCTTCTCTCGTGATGAAAGACTGTGGTGTGTAGCTTGCTTTAGAGCCCTGGAGGAGTCGATCGCACCGAGCAGTGATCAGCACCAGCGTCTCAGTCACCCATTTCAAATCTCCACCATGCTTAACCCTTTACATGCAGTATGCACTACATTAGAGAGAAAATGTCTGTACAGTAGTTCTAACAGCTGCGGCATAGCTTGCACAGTGATCACTTCTTCTTCTGGTGCTTATCATTGCTCCCGAAAGACACAGATCAGTCAAACCCAGATTTACAATTATAGTTTGAGTCATGTGTGTGTGTGTGTGCGCGTGTGTGTGTGTGATCTTCTCACTCTAGTAGCACAATAGTTATTGAGAGACATGTGTTCAGACACTCTCACTCATCCTGTACACTGGACTGGTGAGCCGTTGTAAAGATGGCCTCCTTAGTTACAACATTTTCTCTCTTAACTGCTTTGTTTGTCAGTGGTAATGAAGTATGCTGCATCCAAACTGTGACTCTATTAATCCTAGTGGCATCATCTCTCTCCTCTCTTTTCTTTTACTCACCTTCATCCCTCGTTCTTCCCGAATGTGAAGCTGCTGACTCACAGTTGGTCTTAACATGGGGTTTGGTCCGTCTACTCTCCCCTCGCATTGCTCTCATTGCTCTCACACCATCTCAGCATCTGTATTTTGTATATTTTTGTATTCATTTTTTTCTTACCTGTAACAGACTGTACACATCCAGTGTGAGGCTCTGCATGCTTCATCCTCCCTCTAGAGCCAACGGTCGTGTCTTTAAACACTATTTGTTTTCTTTAGTTTCCGATTCCAAGGTGATGATGACGATGATGAATGCTTTGCTGCAGACATATACAGTAAATATATGATAACCGAGTGCATCAAGAGGCTGGACGGCCTGGGAACGTGTAAATAAAATGCTCACACTATTTTTACCTAATGTTAACAGAGCTTTTTGTAAATGTATCTTGTGCTCAACCTCTGCTGTATCATTATGGATATTGTAAATACAGAATAGCTCAGTCAGTCATCTGTCCTCATTGGGTAGAACTATACAATTAAATTAACCTTTCAGTGTTCTCCCGGTTAACGCTATTGTTTTTGTGTTTAGAGTGTAATATCACGAGCCAAAAAAAAAACTGATTAAGTAGGAGTTGGGAAGTTGTGGAGGAGGCCACACAATCCCGCGTTTCCCTTCAGTCTAGCTCTTTGCACTTTTACGTTCAGTGGTTGGTGTTCATAATGAGCTTCTTCTTTTCAGCACAGCACCTGTTTCAGGTGTTTAAAAATGTGGCAAAGTTCGAAACTGAAGAAAGGGACTTTTGGTATTGCTCTTTCACAAATGGTTGTGTCGGATAAACAGAACTGTTTAACTTGTTCCTGCTTGAATAGATAGGAATAGCCTCAGACCACAGACTGTATACGGTCTCTGCCTCAGACTGGAGAATCGTGTTGCAGAAAGAAAAGAGAGATGTAGGACTTTCCTCCTCATCATATCGGTCCTTAAACAATATTGTATAACTGCAGGGATTCAAGTGAGACAATGTAACTTTTGACAGAGACATAATACATTAATTTCTTTAAAAAGAATAGCTTTTACCAAGCTATTGTTTGCTGTTGTGCTCTTGTGAACTACGGTTGGCATAATAGTAGTTTTAACATTTAGCAATGGGCAGTTGTTCATCAAAAGATTCATTGTCTTTCTTTTAAACTGGTCTACAATGATACAAGTTACCCGATGAGGCTGTCACGTATGTGCACATCTAGGGCCGACAACAAGTAAAGAGGAAGAGGCTCCCCCAGTCGGTTTATCCCATCCATGTTCCCACCTCAGTTTTTTACAAGTCTGAAAACCATGAGCTCACTTTCCAAACAGTTAAGCCAGTCAGACAAAAGATCAATCAAAAATATAAAGCTATAAATAAAGTAAAAGATGTTGTATGTTTTCTATTATCTTGTAGAAAATACTTTTGTAAGTATGTTGAAAGTATAAAGTATTTGCTGGATTCTGCTTCCTTTGACGACAGTGACAAAACAATAATGTACAGAGGAATTTGTGTTGACAAAATGTGGCTGTGCAATTTATGTACATTTGCAACTAGACCTATTAAAGTTTTATTTAGCTATTTTAAAATCGTGTCGTCTCGTGTCTGTCTCTCGTCGGCTCGCTCGCATTGTTCTCCGTGACAATTTGTTATTATGAAATGTAAATGAAGCTTAATTTGAGTGCGTGCGAGATGAATCACATGTTCATTATATACTCAACAGGCGTAGATAGATGACGAGCAGCTAGAGACACCATATGCTCAGACTCCAGGTCCAAAGGCAGAGTGGAGGGTGTGATGGAGGGATGTGACAGACCGGTTTGAGCAGTGCCTACTCCTCAGTGAGCCTGACCTACATACTGCTTGATTGTTATTTCCGACAGTGGGTATAGGAGAAAGCCTGGAAATGGGGTGGGGGAGGGGGGGGGCTGTTGCAAAATGTCTCTCTCACATAGCTGTATTGAGCTGATTGTTATATAAAAATGTTCACACTTTGTTTTTAAATATAGCTCAAAGCCAGGAAAAATGCTTTATTAAAGTCTTATATTATTAAACAGTTTTATCAAATGGGAAAAGCTTTTCACCCAGGTGGCCCAGATTTGACTCCCGGTATGGGAATGAGATTTGAATGTTTCAGTCAAAAAAAGTCATAGTATAGCATGTCAAAAAAAAAGTCATAGTATAGCATGTCAAAAAAAAAGTCATAGTATAGCATGTCAAAAAAAAAGTCATAGTATAGCATGTCAAAAAAAAGTCAGTATAGCATGTCAAAAAAAAAAGTCATAGTATAGCGTGTCAAAAAAAGTCAGTATAGCATGTCAAAAAAAAAAGTCATAGTATAGCGTGTCAAAAAAAGTCAGTATAGCATGTCAAAAAAAAAAGTCAGTGTAGCATGTCAAAAAAAAAGTCATAATATAGCATGTCAAAAAAAAAGTCATAGTATAGCATGTCAAAAAAAAAGTCAGTATAGCATGTCAAAAAAAAAGTCAGTGTAGCATGTCTAAAAAAAAGTCAGTGTAGCGTGTCAAAAAAAAAAGTCATAGTATAGCATGTTGAAAGGGATCATTCGAAAGTCATAACATGTCGAAAAAGATCATAAAAAAGTCATAGTATAGTATGTCAAAAAAGATCCGTTACACTACTATTGACTGTCTTTTTAGTGTTCATCGCCAAACTAAATGTTTTTTGGTGCTCAATTCGTATCCATGTGCAAACCGGCACAACATTTCAATGGAAGCTAAAAGGTTACATAAATCTTTCCGACAGGTGATGGCCACCTCAGCTGTTGAACCAGAGGGCAACAACAACAACAACAACAACAAAACTATGAAGACTAAAACCACCAGAGGTGCAACTGGCATCGTCAGCCTCTGCAACGGAAGGTCGAGGAAACGTGGGCAGATGTTTGTGCTGTGAAACATTATCTAAAATCTACCAACATGCAGAAAAATAAAACGCTCGTCTGCCTCCTTCAACACAGAGATGGAAATAGCACAAGCTGCCATTAAAACATACACTCCACTAATGATGTGACAAATGGTGTCCTTTAATGAGTCCATTGGGGATCTCACTCAGAGGTAGCACAATAATAGTGTGCATACAGGTTGCACAGCAACAAGCTCATCCAGCCTTTGCGGCTTTGCTCAAATATATTTGGTGAAAGAGAACACTAAAGAAGATATCGTGTGTATGAAACAAAGAAGAAAGCCAAAGTTAAACGTATTTGAAAAAATTGCTGGTCAATATCACAACAGCAGTGACCACATCAACACACACCTTCAGTTCAAAGAGCAAGAGGACTTTTATTTTTTGCAGTGCTGTCAATACATTTCATTCATAAGTACGATCGAGCTTAACAACCTCGTAAATCGACTTCATGTTAACAAACGCATACTGAGTTAGTCCGACAGTCCGTATCGCAGAAATCTTCAACATGTTAATAAGTTCACCGTCTGTGTTAAAGAGCTGCATTGCAGTTAAGTAATAAGTTTGATTGTTTTTTTTGTGTCACACACCGCACTTGATTATTGGTCTGCATGTGACAAATTAGTTTAATAATCTTGGTGTAAAGGAAACAAACAACACAATGTAAAAGTCATCGTTAAGCGAGTAGCTGCAGTGTAAATATCTAAAAACGACAATTGTGTAGCTTCAAAGTAATTGTCCTAAAATGTGACAGCTGGAGGTTCTGAGTGGCAGCCTGACTGAACTGAAAGAGCGCGAGTGGCCTTTTCCCTTTGAATACTTATTCACTTAACTCATCACTAATGGGCTCACGGAGCAGGGACGCACAGCTGAGCCGCTGGCTGTAAATAGGCTTTCACCATTGAGCTTAACACAAATAAATACAGTACGGTACACACGCACTCAGACATACACGATACGCCCCCACAAAACGCTCAGTTACCCTCACATCCATTTCTGTGCAATAGATCCAAGAGTTGTGCAAATTCAAGAATATAATACACACATTGAGGACACTCCCTTGCACTCATTTATTTATGCGTGATGCGTGTTGCTGCATTGAATGGGAAGCCGGATGGCGTCTTGTGTTATTCCTGAAAAAAAGAAAGTTGGTTTCAGTGTGTTGCCGAGAAGAGAAAGGTGAAGAGAAGCAAGTAGCTGCCCTGAAGAATCAGTAAGTATAGTAAAGCAGCCATATCTTCCTCCTGACTGGACCACGCTGTTCGTATAAGACCACACCAGGAGGGGAGGAAATGCACCAACCTCCTGATAGTTCATGTTCTATTTATTCCCCAAACCCTCCCTCCCCCCCCGTGGACATCTTCCTCCTCTAAAGAAAAAGCAATCAGGCCGAGAACAGTCCTCCTGCAAGTCAGCCAGCAGGGGTCAAGCGCCTCCTTCTCTCCCATTTTCCTCCTGTTGTGGAAGCTGCAAAGGAGTGAGGGACATCTGATTCCCCCGGCTCCTGTGAGAAGGCTAAAGGCAGTGTTTGGGAGTTGGATGCCTAGTTGGAGCCCTTTCTCGTCAGTTCTCCACGTTGGCCCTGAGCGTGCGAGGCTTGAGTCTTTGATGCAGCCGGTAGTCCTGGCTGGACGCCCTTCGCAGGGGAGCCGGAGAGTCGAGCAGAGGGTTGGCGTGGCCCAGCGTCTGAGACTTGACGGCTCGCGGCATCGCCCTGCTGCAGCTCACGGAGCGCCTCTCTTCGCCGCCCGTCTGGGACTCGAGCTGAGCCTCGCACAGCTCCAGCAGGGACGCTACCTGCTCCCTCAGCGGCAGGGATTTGAACCTGCGACCTGCCAGATGGAAAAAGGCTTCCACAAATGCTTGCAGTCCCATACCTGCAAAAACAGAGAGCGTGTTTAAGGTGAGGCCAGAGAAGCACGAAAGAGGGAATTTTAAAAGGACATTTAAACGACAATAGTTTGTCAAACAGGCTAACTGGTTGCTGATGTCGCCTTATACTTTGCGGACAAATATAAGAGTGGTATGGATATTCTCATCTCGCTCATTATCCATCCCTCTGTAACCGCTATTCCTAAACAAGTTCTCAGGGGTCCCAGATGACATTGGGCGAGAGGCGGTGTACACCCCGGACTGGTAGCCAGTGAATCACTGGGCTGACACATTGAGACAGACAACCATTCATGCTCCCATTCACATCTACGGGTAACAATGTCCCCAATGAACCCAACTGTGGGAGGAAGCCAGAGGAACCAGTGACAAAGGGAGAACATGAGAACAAACACAAACTCCACTAAGAAGGGCCCGAGCTGGCCGAAGGGTTTCAACCCAAATCCCTCTCGCTTCATGCTGCGAAGCGGCAGCGCTAACTGCGGGATGGTGCTATAGTGCTAGTGGTGTGACATTGTAATAACATTATTATCACACATTACCATAATGACCATGTTTTAGGTGTTGCTCCAGTGGTTTTCTAAACAACTTTAAATACATAAGCAGCAGAGTCTCGCCTGAAATGTAAATTGAACATCATTAGCCCTTGAAAGCACATTTGGGATGCTGTACATTAACATTTGAAGATTGGTAATTCAGATATTAATATACTGCAAATATACATATGAATCAACTGCATCTTTTTGCCACAAAGAGAAGAACAGTGTCCTCCAGAGAAAACACCTTGTTAAACGATTGAACTGCTGCCGCTATAGAAGAAGAGGGAATGAGAGGATTTCATCATTTTATTATCCTCATTTCATAACTTTCAGATCTTGCCTACAGGGGGCTAAGGTCAGAGTGACTGAAGGTCAAAGAGTGAAATAAGAAAACAATGAAGTGTTCAGAAGAGCTGAATTTTCCCTCAAAGGTCTCCTCGATATGTTCTACTGTAGCCTGTTATTGTCGACCTAGAGGAAGAAGACAAATGTGCAGAAAACTAGAGACAGAAGGAGAAAGATGCCAATTCATAATGGACTGTTATTATCAATTGTATTGTAATTGTCAACCATAGGTTTAACAGTGTTAGTCCTTTTTTACGTGTGTGTGTGTGTGTTTCAAACATACATGGTTTGTTTGATGTTGTGCCCTCACAAGAATTCTGTTGCATTGTGACGGACAATAAAGTTTATCTTCTCTTATCAAAATTGTTAGTCTGTTGCAAGAAAGCATTTCCGTAAATTGCCTCATGTGTCCTTTTAAAACTTTGTTGCCTTCCCACCCATAAAAACATAATAATTTGATTTGTAAGTACGAACGATAACTTTTATTCCCCATCTTGTGTCCCCACAAATCCTCCAAAGCACACACACAGAAATAACAGACCTTGACACTTCTCCCAGAGTCTCCCTGAATACGTATGAGCTCATTCTGAATTCAGCCCACAATCTCCCTCTGCACAGACCCTTCCATCCCGGTCCATGTGATCTCCATCCATCAGCTTTACCTCGCAAACATTCCTTGCAAGGTGCAGCGGTCTGAATAATTCATGTCGGATAGTCTCTTCTCTGCCACATTGTGATCTCGGCTCATTTCAATTACGGCGGCGCAGTGTCAGAGGGAATCTGACAAAGAATGACAAGCAATTATCTCCGAGCACATCATTTGCTCCGAGTCTCAAGGATACCCGGCTCTCTGTCCTCCACATGTAGTTTCTGTGTGTGTGTGCGTGTGTTACCTGCTTCTCTAGAATCGGGCATTGTTCCTGCCCAACGACGTGTGATGTCTATGTAGAGGATGTCCACTGAAGCCATGGAGAAGATACTGTTGCTCAGCTTACAGGTCCTAAAAGCATCCAGGAAATCATGTCAGTCATCCGTCACTGCAGTCAACAACAATAATGTCAACATGTTTTTTAAGTATTAAGTATTCTTTATTGTATTTGTATTACTCAAAAGGAAGGAAAAGGTCTTTAGGGCAACATTAGAATTGCCTTATGCAAAGATTTGATTGGCTGTATGGAACAAAGTTGAGAGCATTTGGTCAAATTAAAGATATGGGGCGTCATCGGGAAATAAAAAATAAATTCCTCCATTTTGGTTTTAGATTTTTTTTCTCAAGGAAGAACACAGGCCAAGTGATTCACAGAGAAGATGTTGTAACCTTAGACTACACATGACAGCTCCCCAAAAGTAAAGCCAAAACATCACAGAAGTAATAAATCAAAGTACATGTCAAGTCAAGTTGGTTCCTGTCATATTAGGTAGTTATTATCACAAGGATGTATTCTTCTGATAAGTCTGGTTTCGATACATTGTTTGGCGCTGTGAAAGGAGGGTGAGACGTCATGACTGACAGCTGCTCTGAGTGAAGTTGTAGAAGCAAAGGCTCGGGAATTGTACGTAGAGGAGGAATGTCGAGAGTTGTTAGAAGGAAATGTAACTTTAACTTTCCATAACTGTGATTGTCTGTTACATGTATATAAAAGATATTTGGACATAATGAAATCATGTGTACCTGATGAAGGTGCGGAAGGCGGTGGGGCCCAGGCGCATGTTGCCCTTGACCCCGAGGAAGCGTATGAACAGAGCTGCGATTCGCTCCACCAGCCGCAGGTAGTTGAACTGCTTGGTGTACTTGGGGTAGACCTGCTTCAGACACAGCGACGGCAGAGCTCCTTCGTCCGGGCTCCTCTCTTGTGGCTCCGCCTCCATGGGAATCTCCTCTCCGTGTTCAAGCCCGCCGGGCCTCAGTTGGGAACTATGGCCGTGAAATGATAGGACAGAGATAATAACAGAAAACAAACAAACATACTATGAACTGCATTGTATTTAAATGACAGGCATTTTAAAATGACGAGCAGGTTGACAGATGGTGGAGGTATAAAGACTCCAGAGGGACTGCCTTCAAGCCCTGCAGGACTGAAGCACAAGAACACAAGGCCAACCCAGAAAGCTCTCGTCAGCTGAGTCATAGATCACCCGGGCTGGATAAATGCAGCAGGATTTTCACTTCCAGCCTGGCTTGGCAGGGGAAAGTGGAAGAATAATGGTGTATGAAGGATAAATAACTCTCTTTGCACTCTCTCCTCCCACAGCCTCCGCACGGCCTTGTTACAGTCTGTCATTATGTCCACATCATGCAATGCATTAGTGGGATGATGGAGCTACATGGTGTGGGTTTTGAATTTAGATGTCAGTTTTAAATTCTTATGAAGAGAAAGTTGATTCTTCTCACCAAGTTTAGATACTGAGTTAAATGTCCAGAGTTTAGGATTTAGTGGCATCTAGAGGTGAGATTGTAGACTGCAACCAACTGAAACTTCTCCCGTGTGAGCAAAAATACAAATGGCCCTCTGTAGAGCCAGTGTTTACTCTGTATGGGACATTAGTCTGCACTTGGAAAAAAGACCAATGTTGCCAATTCCATTGCAACTGCTGATGGAGGACAAATGGTGCTTTTAGAGGTTAATTATGGACTTCACGTTTGATGCTTTTTAATGCTGATGAGGCAGAAATATAAAAGCACTTATATCAGGTACTTAAATTGGCCCAAAAAAAACCCCATGAATTCAGGCTATCACTCTCCTGTGGCACAAAGGTCGTCAAGAGATGGGAGTTCAACTTGGTTCCAGAATATTCAAAGCTAAGGCACACCACGCCCCCAGGGAAAGGGCTGGACTGTGGGGCGGTTCTGGTGTAGCAGATAGTCAAACATGTGAACAAAAGTACTTTTACCTCATTCACAATCGTTACAAAAGGAACAGCTGTAAAAACATGAATATATATACACGACACAGTTTCTGAGCATTGCAAACACCCTGAGGTGACTTTTTGTAATTTCTGAATTTGAATCGGTCAGTAGATATTAAAAAGGTACCCCGAGGAGTTTCAGTCTTCATAAAATATTTGCAAAGACAATAGAAACAACAACTTGAAACTCATTGTCTACATGCACGTTTTGTTAACTTGCCATCTTCTTCCGGCATATTGCTCCGTGTCTTGCCTTCGTTACCGCCACCTGACGATTACTGAAATAGTGTAAAACCATTGGTAGGAATGAATATGACACCACCACCACACTCATACTCATGTGTCCTCGTGCACAAGATACAAACTAAACAGTGAGCCACTCTTCACGCTTCATGGTGGTCAAAAGACACACGGGGTGCCTTTAAGACGTCTCAAAGACTTCTCATAGAAAATGAAGAGGAGGTGTGTTTTTAACCTGAGGATTGTGTGGGCGTGTGCACACTGTGTTTGACTGACATCTCCCTCCCTCTCCTGCTAGCTTTAATGCACACTGTAGGGCAGTGCAAATTACACCTTTATCATTTCTATTACTTCCCCGAGTGCTGCGACCTCAAATAATTCCCAGCACAGCGACCTGAGCAGAGAGTCTCATCAGCAAGAATAAGTGAAAACAACTGTGTGGGACTCCCACGGTCAACGCATGACAAAGAGAAACACAACGGTACATTCAAGTCAAGTCGAGGGGATACAGTGCTGCTGACTTTCATGAGGCAGCTTCTTTCTCCATGAATTAGTAAGCGGTGTGAATGGCACCGAGAGAGAGAGAGAGCACTTCTGAATGTTTAATAGAATCAATCATCCCCCAGCAGCCAGGAGGACACCACCCACATGTATTTAGACAGGAACGGCTCAGGCTGAAAACGGACAGTTGACAGCCAGGCAGACAGCGAAGGGGAACGTCGACAAACATTCCCAGCAGACGGAGAGAGAAGAGAATGATGGCTGGCGAGGCGAGGGGGTAAAAGGTGAAGAATGGCAGGTTATTAAAAAGACATACAGAGGCCCGGTGCCAAATGTTAGTTGAGCGTACGTGAGGAGGGTTAGGCCTAATTTTGCTGTCATTACTCGGCGTAAATGCAATTTCTGTCCTCCTGGTGAACACATCTTCAAAGCTTTTACGCACCGCGGAAAGGCTTAAAGAGGTGCCAGATGTGTCAATGAAAGTAAATCAAATGTGTCTGCACACGTATCTCCATTTCAGAAATCTGAATTTATTGCCCGAGCGAGAGTCATACCTAAACACACAGAACAAATGAGTCTCCCACAGCTAACAATACACCTTTTCTCCCTTGTTTCTAACCAACGCAACCACAAGAGTCAGAACACTTTGCGCAGATAGCGACATGTCACTGATTTACTGCCCTGAAGAGTGTTAATCAAAGCTTCCACAGTGACACAAACTAACATGTTGGACACATAATTCATCCTCCTCAGCATATATATCATTGTCTTTATGGAGACGATGCTTTAGTAATTGTTTCCCTCGCACCTTATTTTTAAGAAACGGTTGCCTACGAGTATCGTCTTTTTGTTCTCACCCACACACCGCTCATAATGGCTCATAAATCACCCGCAGAGGCCTCATGCACGGGATTAATGAGCTGGGTGTGAGGAGTACATGCCTGAGAGTCCCTCACATCACACCCTCCTCCTGCTCACAGTTCCTCATTTACCTCTACCCCCCCCTGTTCTCCAAAATGACACTTTCCCCCCCCCCATTGTGTTCTGCCATTTTGTATTTACTTATCTCTCTTGTATAAGTTCTCATTCCGTTTTTTTTTTCTTTCTCGACGACACCTTTGTGTTGTGTGCCTGGTCACTTCACTTTATCTTGACAAGTCAAATTCACACGCGGGTGACTTCAGTTTAAACTTTTGCGTTCTGAATGACTGAATCCCATCCATCCATCCATCCATCCATCCATCCATCCATCCATCCCGCTGCAGAGCAGCTGTCAGAGACCACAACACAAGTTTATTTACCTACGGCTGCACCATCTGTTCAGTAAACTCATTACTTAACCTCCCGTAAGCATGTTGGGAACATTTTGTTTGTGCTCCCAACGACTACTTGTTAATGATTGTGAAGGTTTTCTGACGAAACAGGAAGTCGAATCAGTCCGTCCCCATTCAAATATAACTGACCTGAATGTGAATCTATGCATACGAATCCCTGAGATGTATAGTTTTGGAGCAAACTGTTCTCCAGACAGAACCGATCCGGTTCCGTCTGGTTCTAATGCTAAATGCTGACCCGGTTTGTGTCTCCTTTGCTTATTTCTATTAATCAGCCGCTGGTGTTTGTTTTTTCAGCAGCAAGCACATTTTCGGAGAAGCTTGCGTTAATCGGAGCTTTGTTCACTTTGTACATTTTTACGAGGATCTTGGATGCTGAAACTTTTAGCTTCGACTTAGCTGTGCAAGAAACCGAGTACATTTACACAAGTACTACACGGAGGTACAGTTTGTTGTACTTGTACTTGAGTTTTACAATTTTTGTGGGACTTTATGCTTTTACTCCACTGCATAGAGGGAAATATTGTATTACTACTGAAATTTGAATCATCAGAATTGATCTATTAATGTCATAAATAATAGTATATAAGATATCATTTCTGAGGAATGAGTAACTTTGCTACTCATCCTCAAAATGCATCTGCTGATGAGTTATTTTATTTTTATTTACCCAGCAGGACTTTGATTTGTAATGGAGTATGATTACACTGCGGTGTTGGTGCCACATCTTTACACACAAATGGCTTGATTTAAAATGGATCAGAGTCAACATAGCATTGAGTGAATCAAAAATGTGCTTTCTACCAGACAAACATGAATGTACAATGTGCCCGTGTAAACAGACAGAGAACACACTGTGGGACTGAATGATTAACGAGATCTCATTCCGTGCCAGCGTCGGTGGCGACAGTGACAATTAGATTTTTTGGAGCGTATCCAATCTAATGGCTAATTCAATCAATATTAGCACTAGCTAGTTGGGACCCTAAAGCACAGAACTCAGTCACTATCTCAACGCTGACAGCACTCCTTCTTTCAATCACAAGCTGACATGAATACCAAACCTTTGCGTGGGGGTTGCACATATTTTGGATATGGCACATAGTTTGATTCTATCATGTACAAAGATAATGTATTGAAATGCTGAGGCCAATTAGTTTGTTTTCCAATATTACAGGACTAATTTGTGATAAGTACTCCAGGAAGTTCATCAGACAGCCGCTGATTTAGTTCCACGCCTAGTCTGGGTCGACTTTCCATCTGCAGTCATTGATTAGCAGTAACATTCACTAATCAGTGATTTATATTATTTAATAGCCGCCTAATTAGAGTCTTATCATCAGCATCCCAAATCTCTAACCACACCTGCAAGACTATTGGTGCTATCTCATTATAATGGCACTTATCACTAATTGTGGTTATTATTGTTTACTAAATAATTAATTCAAAACATTATTGTCACATCATAATTATGAGCAGTGCTGTTCTCTTATAAACACACTGAATTACATCACATTAAAGATGACTGAGCATCTGGACTTCAGCCTCTTTTCACCACATGACTGCTGATTGCAAATACTCTGTCACACAGATATGGTGTAAAGATATTCTTTGACTACTTCATTGACTTTAGGAGGCTTAAAATTGTGTGACTGTGTGTCTTGAAGGCACAGTGAAATAAATGGAGGTATGAATACGCAGTGAAATATGGAAAATCAGATTTCATGTTATAAATCATTGAAAGATCATTGTATATAAATACAACTTCCTATATGAAATGTTAAGACTAATAGCTAATTAACTAAAAGCTACATGTTTCACAAACATTGCTTCCTTAAATGAATAACATGCTGCTCAGAAATCACATGAAATAGGTCTTAAAATAATATAAATTGTGTCGGGCTACAACCAACGGTTACTTCATTGTAGCTCAACTAATACTGGATTTTTGTGCCTAAACATAGATATTGAAAATGATTAATCGGGCCATACAATAACACAAAGGATCCTTTGATTATGTTTGTAAAAAAAATGTGACTTTAAGAACTGAAAATGTACTTTTACGTGCTTTCTGGAAACAATCTATTTAATGGAGACACGGTTTCAACATGTCGTTTGGATTTTTTTGTTATTTATAAGCCAACATATCATTAATACCTATATATCTGGAATAACCTAATATTGCCAACGGCGATTTATTGTCCTAGCAGTAATCTTTATTGAAAAATGCCCGTCACAAATTTTGAGAAACCTTCAAAATAGTATATTTTGTCCCAGCAGCAGTATATTTTTTGGAGTGATTGAAAAATGACTCTAATGACTAATTGGTTAACTATTTATAAAAAACATTTGCAACTTACCTTTCTGTCAATCGACTAATTGTTCAAGCTCTAACACAGTGATGTAAATATTGAGGTATAAAGGCTTTCAGTGATCCCCGGAGTTCTGAGTCAAACATAAAAAGTATGAGGGACATTAGATTAAAGGATTAGGGATCTCTAACAGCACATACGTAGGAATTAGTGTTCAGAATTCTAAATGTGCACACTACATTATACAGTATTGTATTTCATCCCCAGACAAATACAAGATGTGGTTCTGCTGATTCTAGCTGGATGAAAATATAGCAATGCGGGAGGGACGGGGATTAAAGGTATCATAGGCGCATTATAGCGACGTGTTACTGGTCATGAATGAAACAGTTAAGTGGGTATTATCCCGGAGAAGATATCCCCGTCACTTGCAGAACAAAGCAGATCAAATATCTGATACAGAAGATAATCTGGAGAGGAAAGAAGTGAGGGAAGGAGAGGAAAGGGGGGGGGGGGGGGGGGGGGGGGGGGGGGGGGGGGGGG